ATACACAGTAGATGACAACTGATATTTATAAGGCAAATCTACCAGATGATCAACTAATCTGATGGAGGAAACTCATAAGCAAGGCTTATGAGAATATTGCCTATGAATAACTGACTGCTTCTGTCTGTAATTCTCTTGTGTGCTACCCTAATCCCACCCTAAAACAGCCTTGGGATTTGTACCACAACCTTGGCAGTGTGTTCTTCACTTTTTAAGCATAGTTACTTCAGTGATTGTTAGAAGGAAAAGTTCTCCCTACACTATAATTCTGGTGAATAAAATAAGCCTTCATAGTTCAGCCTTTGTTCTACAAAATGGTGAGAAACTTAGAAGCCTGTTTTATATCTTTAGCTAGGTGACAAAGCAATTATGTGCAATTCGCTAAAATAAATATCTCTTTGTACATATTTTAAGTTAAACCTTCACAGATATACATAAGGACAGAGATGCAGATATCTGGTTTGTTGAATCAATGTCTTTTAGATACAAAAGCAACTTAAAATATCATGCCAGTATCTGTAGCCAGGCCTGGCTGATAACACAGACCAGAGGCCACTCCCTACTAAATTCCTTAGCAATTAACACTCTACAAAAACTTCTAACCTCAGTTTATGATATAAAACTCAAGGTTCAGCCAGGCAGTGGTGGTGTATGCCTTTACTCCCAGCACTTATGAGTTCCAGGATAGGTTCCAAAGCTACACAGAGAAACCCTGTCTTGAAACAAAACAAAACAAACAAACAAACAAAAAACAAAAAAATCTCTCAAGGTTCACCTAACTAACTATTTATTGTTTAGATCTCAAATAATAATTAATCAATTAATCAAGTCCAGAGAGAAACAGCTTTATGTCCATCTAAACCATGAAAAACTTTCATGATTAGCCAGGCTACAGAGAATGGTCTGGCCTCACAACTTAAGTAAAGGGTTATAAGTTCCTTTCCTTGTATAAGCAGGATACAACAGGGGGTTACAAGCAGAATAAGAGAATGTATTTTTAGGTTTGGGATGCTTTCAATGCCACTGTTCAGGAAAGTGCCGAGCACCATGTCCCTGCCTATGTGTTGCCATGGTAAATGACTTTGCTCCTTATTGTTTACTCAAGGAATGTGCTGTGACCCTGAGATACAGCTTTTGTAACTTTTCTTCTTATTGACTCAAGCCTCCTGTAAAATATGTATATAGATGTATTGAACAAAATAAAATTGGGAGAATTAGAGCTGAAAAGAAACCGGAGAATCAGAGCTGGAAAAATAAAGTGCATGACCCTCAGCTTGTGTGTGAATTTATTCCATCTCTAGAAATATACCTCAGATAGAAAAATCCTACATTTTGCTATGCTATGGCCTTTTTATTTGAAGCCCCTGTCTACAGCCTTTAGAACCAGTCTCCAAAAGTCTGCATTAATGTATACATAGAGAAACTTGATTTTCTTTAGGGACATGCACTGATGCTTTAACTTGTAACTCATATCACAAAGCACTGCAATTCATTATGCATGGAACTTATCTAACAAAGTTATTTTTACCAAGTACATGACCAAGTTCTGGCTCTTTGGAACACTTTACATGATCCCAGTACTACAATGATAGACCATTTTACAGGGAAATAAAGATAGGAAGAGGAGGAAAGAGACTGAATAACAACACGCAAAAGATTTTGTTTATGATATTTAGAACTAGAATTTAAGAATCTTATTTTGCCAACCCTCTTCTGAGAATATGTGTATTAGAACATTAAAAAATTTGGGAGATTTTTGTATGTGTTTATTACTTTGAATGAGCCACAAATACTCATTTGGACTTACAATTATGCTTTAGCAAATAGATATATTTAAAATATGGAATCTATAAATCATGAGAATTAATTACATATATATGTGTAATATGCACATACATATTTAATACATATATGAAGAACACAATTCAATATAAAAATAAATTTATACAATACCAAATTTTATATCTAACAAAAGTAGTAAAGTTGACCTGTGTCACAATATGCTTTGTCAACTTGACAAACTATAATAACCTGGAAAGGGATTATATGACTCAGGCTGGCTGTGGGTATGTCTGTAGTTCATTATCTTAATTAAGGTAATTGATGTGGGAATCCAGCCCACTGTGTGTTGCACCATTCCCTGGGAAAGTGGTCATGAACTATAAAAAGCTCTAGAAATCAAGCTGAGAACAAAAAAGCAAGCAAGGAAGCATGCATGCATCTCTTCTTTATCTGTTCTTGAGTGTGAATGTGATGTGATTAGTTGTTTAACATTATTTCCTTGATTTCCTCACAGTAATGGACTATAACTTGGACTTGTCAGCTGATAAAAACACCTTTTCCCCTGTGGTGAATTTTGTCAGGATACTTTATCACAGCAACAGAATTGAAACTAGAATCCCACTTTTATTTTTAAAAAGGCTAAGTCTCCATCTTTTCTTTTTAACATTTATTTAAAGTTAAATAGTGAGATTCAAACAATTAAAAAATGTTGCTGAGAGGGAGGGTGCAGAAACAGAGGATGTCTCCCTGCCTGCTCTGTTTTCCAGAGTTTCCTGTAAATAAGATGTGAATCCAAAGATCTTAAAGTTGTCTCTGCTCTCAAATCTCCAACTTCAAATCTTTTGGTTTTCTTTCTCCTGATTCTACAACAAAGTCATCCTCATTCCTTAGCCATGGAAGTCTGAGGCAACTGAAAATTGTCAATAACTGGATTCAGTCATGACACACAGTAAGACAAGGAAGAAACTGTAGATTACTTAAGCCTAGCAGATGCTCATCTTGATGCTTGAAGAATTGGCAATGAGGTAATGAATACACAGTAACTCTCACCATATGATCAGGTAGGTGTATATGAGTCAAATGGAAGTGTCCAGGGCTCTACTCAAAGCAACCAGTCACTTACATCAGCTTCTATAAGATTTCTTGGAACAATTGATCCCATATGTTTTTGTGCTAACTGTGCAGAATGCATCTACCTTATAAGCAAAAAGTACATAATCATAATTGTAGAAAAAGGTAAGCTTGAGAGAGAGAGCTAGTTATTTCAATTTTTCTTCTCAGCTAAGTGTTCAAAGTTGCATTAGGGATGGTCTAGTTTGAAAAGGAAAAGATTAAATTTGGAGGAGCTTCTTCATGTAATGAAAAATTGGAGCTTTTAACATTACTTGTAATCAACTTAATACTGAAGTCATGTTTTAATGTTGTATAAACAATAACACTCATCATTTCTATTATACCAATATAATAAAATAATATTAATGATTAATAAATTGCATGAATAATTTTCAGTGTAATTAAGTGTGAATGTCCTGAAGTTAGTATGTGAGATAGAATATAGGTTTATCACTTACCAGGTTTTTAAACTTATAAAGTTACTATGACTCTACTCAACAAGAAGGTAGATGTATGGGTTAATACATGTAATGTTCTCCAAAGAACAATTGCCTTATTATCAATCACTGGTAGGTTTAGAAGCATAGGATAATATATAATTAAATAACTTCCCAAGTACCTTTTTTTCTTTATATTCTTGTTCTAACCACTATATGATATAGTTTAGAAATTTCATTGCTTAAAAATTACAAAGCTGCCTTGACCTAGCTATCCAACTATTTCTTCTAAAATTAAGAAAGAACATCCATCTGAAAGCTCTCTGAAGGTCACATAGTAGAAGTGAGCACATGATTTGTATTTGAAATTTCAAATAAAAAATTGTTATATCTTTCCAATTTGATATTGACATCCAGTCTGTAATATATATAGTTTAAACCTGATTTTTGGATACTGTTAATTTTCATGATCATAATCAAACCATAATGTAAGGCTATCTGTAATAGTAAATATTTTAGGAACAGCTTTAATTGTGTTTCTAAATATAAGAGAATAAAAATAATTTATGTATGATGAGACTCACACAACTTTCCAGGTTCTGTATTAATAATAAGTTAAGTAAGTGAAATTATCAATTTATAGCAGAAATCTGAGGATGACAATCAGGCAACAAAAAACACACTAGGCAAAGGAAAAATTTTGAACTGAAGTTTTGATGAATAATACCTGTTTTATCAACTTGGCTAAGGAGAGGTTGTTTGACTCATAGATAATGGAAAGATGTTTCAGTAGCTAAAATAATGTTATAATTAACTTACTGCAAAAATCACCAAATAAGGTCAAAACTAAAAGTACAGTGAAGTTTCATGAATAACACCTTGCCTTATTTATCACCTAGTATAATTTTTCTGACCACTAGTGCTGTCATTTTTAATGGCTTTCAGATAGGGATGAATAAAGGTGTACATGGTCATTCATCCACTATCACTGACAGATTAGCCAATGTATTGGTATTCCTATATCATAGGTATGTGCACATAGTCATTTGGAATTTCTCTAAAGTATACTTACTAAAATTCATTTTTTAAAAGAAAGGAAGGTAAAGAAAGGGAAAAAATACTCATCTAGTCCCTCATAGACTACTTTTCTTTTCAATTTTTTTGACCTCCTTTCACTATAACATACACATTCTTCAATTTTCAATCAGTATCAAATTCTTTCCAATGAAAGATAATAGAATTTGCAAACATTTAAATATGTATTTTGGTACTTAAATGTCTTTCTCATGTGCAACTATGCATCAATCATATCTGAAAATGAAAATTTATATAGTAATATAAATAACAATGTTAATACATAAATAGAAAGTATGAAAGTTGTTTTCTGTGTGGTTAAGGAGAACAAATACTTCAGGGCAGCCCATTGAAATAAAAAATTTCATGAAGATCTCTTTACAGATATCAACTATTTCTGAATTTGAGTGGTAAGTTTTCAAAGGCAGAGTAATTCTTTAATTATAGATAATTCTTTTATGCCATGAAATAACCTTTTGCTGTACATTTAAAGATACAGAAATTTCTCTAGTGCAAAAGGTACTCCCTATATATTTTAACCAATGAGAAGTTTCGAATTTAGAAATTATTTTTATTCTTTTATAGAAAACACCCATGAAGAAGAATCTAAGACATCTAGCGCTTGTTATGTCTGTCTACAATAAGTCTGATGTCCATCCCTCAACCTTCATTCTCATTGGCATTCCTGGATTGGAGGCAGCACACATGTGGATCTCCATTCCCTTTTGTGTGGTCTACATTTTGGCACTAGTGGGAAACTGTTCTCTTCTGTTCATCATCAAGACAGACGTCAGCCTCCATGAGCCAATGTACCTCTTCCTCTGCATGTTGGCAGTGGCTGACCTTGTGGTGTGCACTACAGCTGTTCCGAAACTTCTCAGTCTCTTCTGGTTTCATGATGGAGAGATTTCCTTTGAAGCTTGCCTCACTCAGGTCTTCCTGATTCACTCTTGCTCAACCATGGAGTCTGGCTTTTTCTTGGCCATGGCATTTGACCGTTATGTAGCCATTTGTAACCCATTAAGACACTCAGCTATTTTGACACACACTGTAACCGGAAAGATAGGTCTAGCTGTTGTCCTTCGGGGACTAGCCCTTCTCAGTCCTCACCCTTTCTTGCTAAGTTGGCTTCCTTATTGTAAGACCAACATAATTTCTCATACTTATTGTGAGTTCATGGCCCTCATCAAGATTGCCTGTGCTGAGACATCCATCCGCAGAGCTTACAGTCTCGTTGTTGCCTTCCTCACTGGGGGTGTTGACTTCATACTCATCATTTGTTCTTATGTCCTTATACTCAACACTGTCTTCCACCTTCCTTCCAAGGATGCCAGACTCAAGACTCTGAGCACCTGTGGATCACATGTTTGTGTCATCTTAGTGTCGTATACCCCTGCCTTCTTCTCCTTCCTCACCCACAGGTTTGGGCATAAAGTGACACCCAAAGTGCACATATTTGTGGCCAATATCTATCTTCTTGTACCACCTATGGTGAACCCCATTATTTATGGAGTAAGGACCAAGAACATAAGAAACAGATTTCTCAAAGTATTCAGGTTTTGAAAGCTTACAAACTAAATTGGTTTTGTTGAAGAGTGAAATCTAAGAACACTCTTTTATCTAATTTAGGACATGAGTTAATTTTCTTTATTTTAAAGTATTTTTGTAAGATAACTAAGGGTTTTCAGTGGAAATTGACTCATGAAGTTATAATTGTTTGCTAAAAATATACAATTGTAGTTTTCCTGTGAATTTCAGACCTGTTTCCCAAACAAGGAATAATTACTCTACAATGATACCCTAATCATTATCCTATAAAAATTATTTGAATTTAATTACTATGATTGCAATACACAGTATTTAAATGTTCCATTTAACATAATGCCTATATCCTCACTATAGAAAATATGATTCTGGATTTGTGTGGAAATTGGGGATTATAGAAAAGCAGAAAGCTTTGAGGACATCTTACTTTTAACACAGTTTTCATCTATTTTGACAACACTATATATCTCTTCATAGCCTGTTGTAATTATTTCTCATTTCTTCCAGTATTATTCTGTCCCTTCTTTTTTGAGAGCATCTTGTCATCCATTCTTAATGTAGACCCACAAAATGTTGCCTGTCAGTCATTTGTCATGGAAAGTTTCCTAACTTGTAAAAGATAATAAAATATAGTTTAACTGAAATTTAGACAGTGTTGATAAAATTTGGATTTTTTTTTTAATAAAAAATATTCTGAAGTTGCATGCACTGTCATTTGGCTACCTGAATTGTTCATAATGATATATTATATTTTGTGAGGTTTATTGATATCTAACTTTATAAAATAATTCATAATAATTTAGGAATGTTATAACAATTCACAACAACCAAATATTTGGTCATATTGGCAATTAGCTTTCATGATATTCAAGATACATGTTTTAATGCAGTAACAGCCTCTAGTTAGGGAACATAAATGTAACGACAGCCATTATTTTCAAACAGATGTGTTTTCAAGACAAACACTTTATCAAAATATTCTTTATTCAAAAAAATAAAAACAAAAAGACAGCATCTAATATGGAGAAAAGAGAGGCCAAGGGCTGGGAAATCAAGAGTGAGCGTGAGGGGAAGTTTCATAGATCAGTGTTTCACCATTTGGAACACATTAAAATTTTCTCTTTTGAAAATCACCATACACCTCTGAACTATATTATTGCTTTGAAACCATTTGTTGCTTCCCAAATAGTCATTAATCTGAGGATAATTGTCTTTGCTGTCTAACCACTGTTAAAATCTCTGTTTGCCTTTGGTATTCAGTTGTTTCTTATGGGTGACTCACCAGCAATATGTTAAATGATGGAAGTTAGACACAGAAAACCCACATATAGCGTGAGTGTGCAAATGTTCCTCTAGAGAAGACACACCTACTTTGGAGTCATGTTTTGATGCCTATGTTTTAAATTTGAAACATTCCGCATCTTGCAAGTCAAAACACATACTATATATAAATGGGGGTTATCTGTGGTGCAAGAACAAATGGAAAGATCTAGACTTGATAAGCAGATAAACACACACCAAGACAGATTATCTGCCCAATCAGCTCACATGCTATACACAAGGTAAACCTAGTGGAAAGAGAAGCCTGTGATTCATTCACAGCCAACAAGAGGATGCTGATGTCATGAGTAATGAGTCACTTTTTAAAGAAATTGAGTGAGAATAAAGTAACTTGGTAGTAAACTGCCAGGATGGCATATAAGATGCCTGACATACTGCCAGCAGAAACTGGAGATGAGGGACCCGAGATTGTGGACCATCATCCCTCCATGCATTCCCCTCTGGATCTTCTGTTTAGCATGCCTCTAGAGGGCCAAGGCAGAATGCCTACGTGTGCCAAGGTCATGCTTTATGGTGTGCACATGTCATGGTCATGTTCTCCTCCATATAATTATTTCTTGTAATGCTAGTCTTTTACTTCTATCTGATCTTCATGTTCTATATTCCCAGACCAATGGTACTTTCTGTGAAACAGGATGGGAATGAAATAAATTTCAAGGGAAATTATACAGAGATGATCATCCAGGCTGGGGTCAAGGCAGTTATGGTCATGGGAAAGAACCTGCAGCCTGGGGAAGCTTTTCAGGCTTGGATAAATTATACCAAATGTGTAGTCAGCTATAGCACATGGTATGATGTATATCAGTACAATGGACTCAGTTTGGCTATGATGAATATAATTCAGTCTCTGAGGATACTCCAAGGACACTGTGTAAAACTTGAGACCCTAAGGGGTATTGGCTGAAGAATGCGGATGGAGTAACATATAGATGGGATGAAAAACAAGAAGTGTGGGAACCTAGAATAGGAGGAAAATGGTGGCCTCCACCAAGAAAGGGAAATGGCAGCTTTAATCCAGATATTTTGATTCCTCCTAAAGGAGTGTGGAAACAATGTGGTAATGGTTGGAGTGATTGCTGCAAGTTTTATTGGGTTCCTAGAGTGAAAAGAGCTGCCAGGAAAAGTGAGCTTCCTTTCCTTCAGGAAAGCTCTGAAAATTGGATCAGGTCTTCCTTGGAACTGTTGGGATAAGAAGGACAAAAGTCATTGACTCTTGCAGGGGCAGATCTCTTGTCTGAGGTCATTGTGGCCCACCAGTCATGGGGCTTAGTGTTTGCAGAGGGCTGAGGAGGAACCTAGGCAGCTTCAGGGGTCTTGAGGTCAGAGCAGGCTGTGTGAGAAGGAAACAATTGTCTGGTACATTAACTACTGTTCTTATTTTTAAAATAAGTGTTCTTTTTTGTGAAATTGCATATTGCTAGCCTCTGGGTCAGGCGCTCAGAAGATTGTATAATCATTATTAATAAAAATAGATTATGCTTGCTTTGGTGTTAAGCCTGGGATAGTTTTTGTGTTTAATCAAAGATGATGAAGAATATATTGGTCATTTTCTAAAAATAACCTTTGGAATCATAAGAACACTCTGTATTGAGTGTTTTCCCCTTTTCTTTCTGTTTCCCCTTGCTCATGAAAATAAAAGACTGAGGTTACCAAGGCAAAAATCAGAAGCTGTAGCAAAAGCTACTTAGCAACTGCAGAAGCCCGAAGTGACCTGTCAGCTTGCACGAGCATTGTCTCTGAGTCATTACTACGCCTTTTAGGTATCCCGTCCTTCAGACCTCTGAAACTGCTGAGGTTGGCCCACCAGCAGTAAACTTCCAACCCAAATTCTACCCTGGTGAATTTACCATTTGCTCAACCAATTCCACAAACGTTTGTCAACATATAGACATGGAGTGAACATTTTTAACCACATTCAAAAATAACTAAGATGCTTAGACATAAAGCTATTTCATGACTAGAACAAAAGCATTAAAAGATGATTTCAGTGTCACCAGTAAAGCCAGAAGAGTCACTTTTGTGACAAGTGCTGAATAATTTTCCATTGAATTTCATGTTCAAGATGCCATATTTACAAATAGAAATTTCCTCTGTTGGTGATACAATAAGTTTTCTTTATAATAAAAAATAGATAGGTAGTTTATTCTCCCTTAACTCTACTTTTCAGAATTGGAATATCATGGGATGGCCTAAAATGAGTACAGTAAAGTCAATCTCACTCCAACCTTAAACTACAAAATATGACAAAACTTCTATGTACTTCATATGTGTTTAACTAACTTTGATATTCCATTTAATAGACATTAATCAAGTTTTCCAGCATATACTTGACAAATTCTCTGCTAAAACTGGTTGCAAGAGAAATACAGGGAAAGTTTCTTCTTCATGAACCTTAAGATTGGGATTTAATTTTGCACCAGTGGCTACAATTAACAGAGTCAGAGATCTTGATTAATAAAATATGTATGAGACAAAAATATTTCTAAGCTTATTTAAATGTAAAAAGAGTTTCCTGACAATGTTTAGACTTCAATTACTGAAGAATACTTTGAGTTGTGATAATTTGCTTTATGAATGAGACATATTTTTAACTAAATAAACGTCATTATGAGTCTTTATTGGTGATGCTTCTGAATTATGCAAATACAATATAATTTTCACATAAACAATAAGGCAACAAGATAGATGTTCCTAAATCAATTTTGAATGTGAGTAGATGCCCTCTTGGTTAATCTTCTAAAAGCATTTATAACACATAGATGTTGCCTTTATTCCTTCTTTGTTTTGTTTTGTTTATCATTGTAGGTTTTTTTTCTCTTGTTTTCTGAGAAAAGCTACTGATCTGTAGCCCAAAGTGGACTTGAAATAATTATGCACCCAAATTTAACCATATCACAGATCTGTCTTTATCAGCCTTCACATCACTGGACTTACAGACACATGTGATCAAGACTTGCTCCATAGTTAACTTCCGGTCTCTATTTCTGATCTCTTCCTTCTTGATAGGACAAATATATATATTTGCTTCTGTCTCTTTAATGTGGAAGGCCCAAATGTCTTTTCTCTATTGACTTGACAAGAAGCCTTTCCATTTCTTTTGAAATTTTCTTCTGTTAAAAATAATTTTGTCATATAATATATTCTGAATACAGGAGGACCAATGCACCTACAAACTCACAGAGACTGTGGCAGCACAGACAGGGCCTGCATGGGTCTGAGGCAGATGAAATTCCATGACTGACAGGGAAATAGGCACAAATCTGCATAGGGGAGAGGTGTTTGGTACTTCAATCAAAACAATCCCCAAAATGAGACCTTTAGAAGTGCCTGATGATAATGAAAAAAAAAAAGGCCCTGAACAGTATTAATCTTGTCTCATTAAATATTTCTCATTAGACCATTATCAGACAGTAATAAACTGTGACCTGTTGTAAGACCAGGGACACAAGGCTAAAACTATCTTGTTTCCATCAGGGGAACTGTTTAACCTTACAAAATTTTAAACATTTTTTTTCTAATAGAGAACATGAAATTTGTTCTGTGATCTTTGGCCTGAAATCCTCAAAGATGGGCTGTCTACCTACCCATAATGTTTATGTCAGTGACAGTGTTAAAATTGAGTTTATCTTATTGATAAATTGCCACATACCACTGATTAATTTCATCCCAACATTACA